CCTAAAACAACTTGGCGAAGAACCGTCCAGGCTGAGTTGCTGGAGATGGGACTGACTTGGGGCGAGGCTTTGAAAGTTGCAAAGGACCGCCAAGAGTGGCGTCACCGTGTCGCGGCCCTATTTCCCACTTGGGAAGATGAGGATAAGTAAGTAAGTAATCTATACTTCTAGTTTATGTCAGTATGTCGTAAGCTGTCGTAACAGCGTCGATGTCAATGCAATTTAAACAGTAAATTGAAATGTCTAATGATTACCATATATTCACAGTAAATTTCACTGATATTACAAACTAACAACTTATTCATGAATGTAAGGACCRCATGGCACTATGAKATACATGATATAGAAATAAAGGACAATTATAGTGCTAGGAAGAAGGTTGATCCGAGAGAAAGACCATTGGAAATAAATACGGAAAAAATAATTTCGGATTAGAACCCACGACCCTCATATTTGTACTACCGATGTTCTACCAGCTGAGCTGCAAGGCCAGACTGGGAGCAGGTCGGGGTGAAATAGATGTTGGGTTGCGGTAATTGGAATGTAAAGATATGAATATAAAGCCCGCATGGCACTATGGTATCTCATTCTATATTCTATATAATCTCATTTGATATTAACCAATTAGTACTTACCGAGATTTAGGTACGACACATTAGGACCTTCAAGAACAACCACACAATATTTACAAATTGAACGGAATCGACGATCAGAATTTATTGAAAGGATTACATCACTACAAAAGACTTTTTACCGCGTGCTATAGATTGTAACCGTTATATAACACATTATTAATACACACACTYTAGTTTAGCTTTATATGACTTAAAATGACGTTACGATTTGCATGAGTTTTGATTGGTTTATTTATAAACATTGGCACCGGCAACTTGTCTTGGTCGTCCAAAATGGTCGCCTGATTGACTGGCACCTTTATTCGTTCCCATTTGCAAACCAATCACGTTCTGGCCGTCCCTCAATTGTTCTTCTGTGAACTCACGTTTGTTAGCTGTTGCTTCTTTGGGACCCAAGGTATGTCTGGTTTTTCCCGTTGAACTGGCCTGTGACAATAAAAATCATCATTTATAAGAGTAATCAACTTCAGTACTGCTTAACATTCTGACCTACAAAGTACATATCTGGTCTTGGTGCTGAATACAAAAACTACCATCTTGAGTACAAGTAACAACAAGAATGCTACCAGAACAACTTAAGCTGATAAGCATATCTCCTCTCAATACAAGTGAACTATTCTCACCTTTCTTCCCAAGGCATGGATTCCATTAACGACCTGTAAAAATACATTTGAACATTAAAAAAGAATACTTGTCATAATACCATCATCCTATAATTATCTATGAAATACTTATATTTCTTCATTTCGTAAAGTTGATATTTTCACTAGTGAAAATAACACATTCGAGGTTTCTCTATATAGTGGAAGTAAGAAAAAAAGYTATTTTACAACATAATTTGCTTTATCATATCACCCGTATTTTGGCCCTATGCGCGCTCTTAAAAAACCTTTGAGTAATGGTCATGTGATGGGCCGTACGCCTTTTCGCTACATGGCCGTACAAACCCGTATCTTCCCGGCTTTAAGTTTTCATCAAAGAAATGGCTTAAAAAACGCTGTCATATGATAAAATGCTTATTGACTGAGTTAGGTCRGGCCGTACGAGAAAATATTTGGCATAAACTACTCAGTCAATAAGTACATATTCATATACAATTATATGATAAATAGAATATTACATGGTCGCTTGGAGATACGAATTTTATCTTCTTGTGTTGAAAATCTCAAAAGCTCACTCGTGAGAGATCTTTTCAACACTCGAAGATAAAATCCGTATCTCCGCGCACCCACCTATTAATGTCTATTGATGATAACAATGATGTATACACCTTATTCCAAAATGGCTGACTAGCCCTTGATGTCTCGTTTTCATGAAATTGTTTTTTTCTTTTAAAGTCACTCAAGCTCAAAGACAAAAGAATAATTTTATGAAAACGAGACATCAAGGGCTAGTCAGCCTTTTTGGAATAATGTGTATTACTAGATGACAACTAATAGCGGAGCTCAGATAATGATACAGTGATTGTCTCTAGTAATACATAAATCACCAAAACGCTAAACACTTTTGGCACCTGTAGTAAAAAAATGATTTTACAGGAGCATAACATTTAATAATATTTGAATTTATTTAGCCAATCATCTTATAATATTTTTTCATCTAAAAAATATTTAAGATCATTTATATGTCTAAAAATAACGTAAGTTGAGTCTTGTTTTGGTTCGAGTTTTGCGCATCCAAAACAGAAAGAGCACACGAACTAGACAAACTGAACAATATATGTGATGTGTAATTTTTTTGCCTTGTTTTTTGAACAGTCGATAAATATAGTTATGAGCCGATAGGCCTCTTAAATGCCACTAAATATTGCCATCATTCTTTAGAGAAACTAAAGAAACTGTGCCGTCGGTCCATGAAAAATATACCATATTTGGCTCAGTCTTGAGCCTCCAGGATTTTGTACACGCCCGACGACTTAAGGCTGAGCCAAGTACCATATCTCCTTTCTACCATCTAATCTAAGTTTTGGGATTACATCTCATATATTACTACATTGTAATGTTGTATGATATCATCCATGTACCATGACAATGTTGTATGATGCAGTACTGACCTGAGGCATGTTTTGTTTCTCGTACAAGTCAACTGTTTGGAAAATATCAGTTTTTGGCACACCAATACTGTCACAAAATTCCAAAAATTTTCCAATATTTTCCATCTAAATCAAACAGACAAATATTACATTAGTTTGTTAACAAACATGTGCGCTGTACTGATACTGAAACTTTATCTCTAAACAGACAGTTTAGCCACCAGCCCCTTCCTCCCTCCCTACCATGAAACCAATATCATTGTCAAATATGACTCATATCTTATTGTCAAATGTAACTCATATCTAATCAAAAAGGCACATGCTGAACCTCAAAAAGCTGGAAATCTTACTATTGTAACACATACCATTTTGAATGCCATCTTACTCTGGTTGAATTTAATATTACCACCAAGTGCATTGGCCAACCTACAAAGTATGACACCATCCGTCAACTTTGCATGGAAGTCATTCTGATCAGGTCCTCCAGCCATGTCATTTCCCCCCAAAACTGCATCCATCCATGCCCTTGCTTGCGCTTCAAGCTCTGAATCATACTTTGCATCTTTCTAGAAGTATATCAAAACTCACTTCGTATCTCCTCGAGCCAACTCTCCCAGTGTGGGATACTAATCAATCGCTGAACGTACTACAACGGGCATGGCGTAGTTCATGAGAAAAACATTAAATGCATAGCGGAAAATAAACATTTTTTCAGATGAACGGTGCTTTAGCTTTTCTGGAATGAGTTTCTTTCTGATTTATTTTCAAGGATCGAGGTAAATGTCAAGATA